CACCCGGCAGCATGTTTGTGAATTTTGATTTTACACACCGGAAAGAGCGCAGGATTCTGTAAGACTTTCCCAGATCAGACACTCTTCTGCACAGAGGAGCCACAGCCATTTCCATCTGTAACACACGAGAACACATCATCACTGTCTCTGAAGTAGAGGCTGCAAAGTTCAATGGGAAATAAACAGAAATCCTAAAGAAAATATTCAGCACAAATCCTTTTTAAATATGACCAAAAGTCTATTGACTATTCTTATTAATCTTATGAATTTACGTTATGTCCATTGGTTGTTCCCATACTGCCCCACTGTGGTCAGTTGAGGAAGTACCAATTGTCTTGATCCCCAGGAATGGGTTGATGGGTTAAATACAGAGAATTTCATTATGAGTATATGTGTCCATAAATGCACAATGTCAGCAAAGGCTATTCTTACGTGTCCAGACGGAGCGCTAACTACGACAAAACTGAGCTCTGACTGACACACATACAGTGTACACAGGATAAAGTAGGTCAAAACAGGGTAAATGGACATCACTCTCACGCATATACATTAAGAGACTCCTTCTGACCTGAGCAAAGTCTGCAGCCAGTCTCATCTTGCCACCCTCTCCCAGTGGCCTCACTAGGCTAGCGTGGCGGACGAAGAGCTCGATGGCTCTCTGGGCAATGGACTCGGTAGAGTTATAGATGAAGTCGGAGCAGTGAATGTGTCGGAAATAGTCGCTCATCACTCTGACGATAAAACCTTGTAGCTCTTTCATGTACAGGGAGCAAGGGACGTCAGGTTTGTCCGAGCTGGACACAGTCCTGTAAAAGTCATGACAGTAATTATATTAAAAAACACTGCTGGCAGAGAAAATAGTGTTTTGTTTAAGGGACAGAATGTGTCACAAAATTAATGTGAAGTCACAAAGGGTGTGTACTGGCAAGAATCTATCAATACATCACAATACATGGGGAACAATAACGATATATTGGGATTTAATTAGATACTATAGTAACGACAATATATTGCTTTTTTTTAAACAGTTTAATTTTTCGAAAAATGTCAGTATAACCATAAATTAAATTAGCATTTTAATAGTTATTTTAAAAAATCGATACGTATCGGGAAATGAAATATTGCATCGCATATTTCAGTGTACTTATATTTTTTACGCCCCTAATAACTCACACATGATGAGTACTCATGGTCTTATAGTCTTTACTCATAAATCACAAGAACTCATACAGTGATTGAGCAGCCATGGTATTAGAATACATAAAAACTGTTTCTACAGTGTTCTCCTACCCAGAGAAGTCTTCTTGGTGCAGCGTGATGATGATGGCCTCGATAGAGTCACTCACCGACTGCAGCAGTGGCTGCACTGCACTTCTCATCAGCGCCTGCATGTCCTACAACAAATAAAAAGGTAAAAAAAAAATTAAAATAAATCTCAATTTGGATTATTTTAGAAATGTATTTTGAAGAATGTAAGGTCCAGGAAAATGTAGTTGATTCTTTTACCTCTAGAGAAGAAGACATGGCCTCAGCGGCTGCAGGTAGGGAATTCCCAAAACCAAGGATAACCTTGAAAAACAAACAAACAACATAAAGTAAATATATTTGAACTATGTTTAACTCTCTTTATAACCAAAAACCGTCCATCTTATTGTTCATAATCAGTTCACACATATTATTTGCAGACACTGCAGGAAAACGTTAGTACGTACGTTTTTGAAGGCGTCAAACTCAGACCAGCCTTGCCAAGGACAGGGCTGGACAGACCAATTTTGTTAAGGACGACTTCAAAGTGTTTTATAAGCTAGTGGTTTTCAAAGTGGGGGCCGACTAGGGGACGTTAGGGGGGGCCCATAAAGTTGGAGGTTAAATTTGAAAAAAAAAACAAAAAAAAAACGTTTGGATTAACACTAGGTTTCAACTCTACAGCACGGACCGCGACACTGCACTCTGTGGTAAGCGCAAAGCTGGTGGAATCACACCTGCGTAACCGCAAGATGCTACAAGAGTGTGGTTTCTATTTGCTAACCGTTGGATTTCTCCATATTTAAATCAAGGACCTTGCTTTACAGACCTGCTGTGTCTGTTACTTGTTTTCGAGCAGTGAGTAGTTCATCACCCAGCAACAGCCCATGCAATTTCTAACCTTGGAAACAGCCTGATGCAGATGGAAGAGGGAATTGACCACGGCCACATTCCTCCTTTGGCCCTCTGTCAGTGGACTGATCACCTGACTGGCATCACCCTGAGTACACAACTGCACATAGAAAAAATAGTGGCTTGTAGTGACTGATACAAGACACACAAGACAAGGTGAAAAACAGAATTGAAAAACAGAAGTCAGTTAACAGGCGATTCTATATTTTGTTTGTAATTTTAAAAAGTTTGCTTTTGCAGATGTTATAGAAGTTATAATTTTTAATCAGATTAGTTTTATGGCGATTTATGGAGAATTTTGCATGTAATTGCAAATGCATTTACAATGTGATGGACATACCAGCTGCTCAGACTTGACACAAAACAGTTTCACAGTCTTGGCTGCATTCTTGGCCACGGCTAAGAAAAGATCTGGATCAACCGATGCCACGTTAAGCTCACTGCAAAAAAAAAAAACAATACGATTTTAGTAATTGTATGGAAAATACCTTATTATTATTATTACTTTGTTATACATTATTTTTATAAAACAAAAAACAGAAGCAAAAAATAACTTCCAAATAGTAACTTAATGATGAAATAGAGACAAATGAATGCTTCATTTGTCTCTAAAGCTGGCATCTCAAACTCAAATGACATCACTGTTACTCCTGTGAATTTGTGCTCCAGGGTTTTCAAGGTGAACTGTGTATTCTACTGGCCTGCTGATGGTCTTGATGATGCTGTCCAGCTCATCATTTGAGGGTGGGTTGCGGCCTCCCATTGGGAAAACAAGGTTGACTGGATCAAAAAGTCGGGAGAGAGATTTGGAGAGATACGCAGCTTCATATGGTTGTAGAGAACTTTTCAGAACCTTCTCAGGGCTGCAATAACAAAAAGGAAATGAAAATAGATTTAGAAAAAGGGCATCACATAATCTTAGTACCAGTTACAGTACTCCCTCTACAATATTATGTTGCTATAAGACAGTGATTTACAACCATTGTGTCATACAAGAACATCAGGTATGTGGTGGAAAATGATCCAATTTCATGTAACTATTATTTGTTTATTGCAAATAATGTGTCTTCCTTTGACACATGGCAGCAACAGACAGAACAATTAAATACTATTCCACTGGGGGGCAGCATATGACTATAGAATAAAAAAAACAAAAAACTTTAAAGTAAATTCTGCGGACACGTGGTGGAGGGACTTATTCAAAGAAATGACTAACTGGAGTCTGAGAAACTGCGTTGGCCGTCATGTTCACTTTTGTGTCTCTGGAGAGATCCAGTAGTATCACGTTGGGGTCAACAATGTAGAGCGACATAAAAAAGTGCAACTTTCAAAAGAACTTTTGTTAAGGACGACCCCGGAGAAGAATAGCCACCTTTCGTCAAAGTGTTTCATCTGTGTTTATTAGTAAAACATCACAGGTCAACCAGGTCCTAACATATTTCAATAATTCTAGAGGTATGGCTTTAGGAGCGTCTTCATAACTGAGTGAATATGAGTAGTAGATGAGAGGTGGACTTACTTGTAGTCCTGTTTGACATTCGTGAAGAGGTCTGGGTTGTCCGTTTCTGTAGACATGATATCCAGTGACAAATCTGCGACCCCACTGCTTATAAGGGAGCTCTGCAAACTCGTGCTGTACTGCTGCAGACGGCGCCACAGATCGTTGTAAAGTCGCAATAGTTTGGGATACTCTCCTTCAAAAGCCTGTTTCAAGAAGAATGAGGCTGAAAAGAGACAGAGAGTAAAACTCAATGGTATTACACTAGAAATATGTAGATGTGCATTAAGATGTTCTGTATGGTGTCACAGGTTATTTCATTTCCTTTTTTAGGAATCAGAGATAAAATGGAAATGTTGCTCTATTATACCTAGAGAATGACGTGATGTGATCCTTCAAGAGTCTTGAAGTACACCAGTGACAGATTAACACAAGTGCTGTCAACTGATTAAAAAATGTAATCTGATTACTTTTTTAGGTAATGGTAGGTAAAGGTAATCAGCAGCCAAAAGTTTCTATTCTCATTACAATAAATTGTTCCCCACAAATTGTGCCCACCCTTCAAAATAAAAATATAAAATATATATATAAATATAGTTAAGTATATGTAAAATAAAAAATATTCAAACACAACAAAAAACCGTAGAAGACATGACAAATAATTGTTAAAAAAAGTAATATTATACTAAAATGCATTTGCTCTCTTTTTAGTGCACTGTCACAATATACTAAAAGAGCCTATACATATATGTAGAGGGTTTTAAAGCAATAAAAAACACTAAAAAGTTTAACATATTAAACTAGGAGCTAGTATAGTACATACTAAAAGTTCGATTACATCAGTCTTACCTTCAGTTGCTTTGTGAAACTCCTCACTAAGTATATTGGTCACATCTGTCCAGAACATATACAGGATATCAGGTTGACCATCCTGGCATTAAAAACAGCAAAGGAAAACATTAGCATAAAGCACTGACAATGACGCCCTCAGAAACATAGTTCATCACTCTGAGTATAAAGGATATCTTTTTTTTTTTTAAACTCAAATTAGTAAGGATAAGAAATGTGCCAAAATATTAACACTGCGAGGTATCTTGATATTTTGTCTTGTTGATATACTGGCCCCAAATATCGATAGTTAAACATACACTTGTTCTAAACAGATTCTCTTATGAAAACTGCAATTTTTAAGACTCCACATGATGGTGCTTGGCATGAATGAGCTACACCATGTGAGCGTCTCTGAAACGGAACCGGGTGAGTGCAGTCGCAAAGACTAAAGGTTGCAGGAGGAGTGTAAAAATGGGTGAAGGTAGGCAACACAATGTGTGTTGCTTTTTTCTTATTGATTTAAATATTTTCATTTATATTTTGTTTTGGGATTCATTCTTAACCCAAGACCTTCACTTTATATATTTGCAGTAAGTCAAAGCCAGTGAGCTTTAATAATAATAATAATAATATTTATTGGATAATGTTGACAACACATGTTGAGAGCCTCAATTGCTTTACACAAATAATATACAATTGCCTTCCTGATGATAATGTGCTATTACTGTTAAGCTTTCAGTGTTTTAAATGTTACATAATGAATATGAAATATTCATTATGAAATTGCTGTTGACCAGTTTATTAAACAATTAGTTGCTTAATCTCTATATGGAAAGGAAATCCTTACATGTAAAGTAGTGGTTTGTCATCTACCCACCTTGTTGATCTCTTCTATGAAACACACATGAGTGACAGGATCTCTCTTCTTCATCAGGACCTTTTGTAGATGCTGCACCTGTGAAAACACAAGGTGGTAATTTACTGCAAATTCAACAACCACGGATGTAATTGTATTTCACAATGTACATAGACCTAAACAATAAGGAGCTATAAAATCTAGCTAGAGACAAAAAAGCCAGTACAGGACTTTTGGTATTGGGGTATTTGTGATGTCTTTCGGTTTCCTACGTATATTTGTTTGAACAGGGGCTTTGTGTGGAATTTTAGCTGAACTTAAGTAACAAGAAGAATCAGAATTACAGTGAAAAATACTAAACTAAATTGTTTTCATATGGTTTGAACTGAAAAGGGGGCTACTGTCTTCAATATGAAATTCAAACAGAAACTGGTTCCAAAATCACTAACTCATTATAAGGGATTATATATATAAGGGTATATATATATATAGCACTATATAGTGGACTTGCCGGTTAAATAAAAAAATACACTAAAATACAAAAACACTATTTCGGACCAACAAGAGACACAGGAAATTGGTGTATCATCAGCATATGTGGCAATAAAGCAGGACCTTTAGTTTAATATAACCAATTAATCAACCATTCACTCATTACAGGGTTACTGCATAACAGGTATGTGATCTAGCTACTGGTGCTTTTAAATAGAAGTGGTATTAGTCAACCCACCTGCTTGCATGCAGCACATATCTGGTCCATAAGTTTTTCCAGGTTGGTCCACATAGCAGCACGGAAGGCAGCAGTGTTCCCTGGTGTTGGCAGTGCTGCTCTGCCTGGAGCTCCTGCAGAAGAAACTTTCATTAATATATATATATACACATGCGATTAATCATCCAGGTCTAATATATACACACACATATTTATTTTCCTTGGGTCTTACCTCTGGGGCCTGATGGCTGTGTTAGGCCCTTAATATCGAGAGCACCGGTTATATTGTCCTGTATAGCTGTGCGATATCCGCCCACCACATTGCTTATAGTCTCTTTTAAACTGCCTAGATTGTAGAAGACTTGCAGGGCAGTGCCCACCTGGGTTGGATTCTGATGAATAAATGGAGAAAGTGAGAGAACATTGGCAGTGAGCCGGTTTGTGACAAGAAGTATTTACTGTGGCAGCTGACACTAAATGGGGCCAAGCAAAAGAAAGGGTAGGAGGGTAAGAGTGTTTGTTAGCTGCCTACCTCAATCTCCATTCCCTGCTCCAACAGCCTCTTGGCCTGGTTCTCCACCTCCAGTCTGGCTCTGCTAATCATCAGCAGTTCGTTGTCAATAACATCAATGCCACTGAGATCCACACCTTGGGATAGGTAGTCTAAAAAGGGTACAGACAACACAATTTATATGTAGTATATGTAACGTACAAATGTTGCCATTAAATAATTCAACTCTAATTTAATGTTTTTGCAACAAAAAAAAAACATAGCGATGCAAAGACCTGTTTAAAAATGCCTTTGTGGAGGCCATGATGGGAGTAGCAGGAAAAGGAAGAAGATGAGGAAGAGTAAATGAAAGTGAATATTTTTTTTAAAAGATCTTTTCAAAATGATATATATTACAAATAGAGATGCACTGATTATAAAATTCTGAGCCACACTGATGTTAAAACTGGCTGTTTTTTTTTTTCTTTTTGTTAGTTATTCTCCATTTTTTGCCACAGACACATTACTGATCTATTTGAAAACAACCTAACCTAATAAAGAAAACATTTCCCAATATTTTTTTTTGAAAATGAAAGCACATCAAGTGAAAATGTAAAAATAATTGGAAATAAATAAAATGTAAAAGTACTTTATTTTCCAATTTCTTTGCCAGTGAAGGTGTTGACATAATGTGGCCGAAAGGCATGTCAGTCATGTGGTTCCCACGACAATGTTTCAGTTAGAGGAAGGTAGCACGGAGTGTGTGTCTGTTTGGTGTGTGGAGGCGGAGAGAGACAAAGAGGAGTGATTACGAGTGATGAAACCTCGAGTCAAAAGCACTTGGCAGTATCATCATTTTATGCCGAGCCATGCCACACTGTTTGTGACTGATTAGCTAATATATTTATAATTCAGAACTGGTGAATTATCTGTGCCAATTACCCTGTGGCAGTTACCATCGGTGAATACTGATGTTCATCCAGTGCATCCCTAGTTATCTTTTTATTTTATTTTATTTTTATTTTATTCCAAACTGAAAAAGGCAGCAAGTATATCATTATAAAGACTAAGAAACATAGGAGAAAATGAAGTCATGAGTGGAGAAAGTCAATGTGTTAAAGGGATCAGAGAGCAACTCAAACAGTGATACTAAGGGGAGGGTGTGATAAGAGAGTAGGAGGGCCGCATTAGGAAGAGCGACACAGAAAAGAGGAATAGTCTGATGCTTCATTCGCTCAGTGAAATTTCAGGAATTCAAAGAACTGACAGGACTTTGAGCAGTAAAAGTAACATCTTTTAAAAAAAACTGGTCAAAAATCACTTGCATGAACAAAACCACTTTAAGGGGACTTACTTTAAATAGACTTTCAAGGACCATGGACTAATAATTTCCACTGACCTGAGGATAACTGAGGAGCAGCACTCGAGGTAAATTAGCACATGACAGAGTGTGATAATACTGTCACTACTAACAGTGTGATGGTGAATAGGTCTGAAGCACCATGAAATAATTGTAACTACATTGTTGCTGACTATGTTTACACTGCATTAGTTTGATAGAGCAACATTACTTAGTGAACCATAAAATAAATTCAAAAACATAAGAGTAAAATGATGCACTAATTTAATTGTAGACCTGTGATGTAGTACAGTTGACTATTTCATACAATTTATGTAACTATTAATGTCATGACATTTTATTCTTTTTATTTTGTTTAACCTTTATTTAATCATGGAAGTTATTAAGAACAAATTTATATTTACAGTGGCATTAAATGTGAAATGAGATTATTCTGACTGCTCTTCAGGTATCCTTCACACAGCAGTATAATGCATACATTTCTGGTGACTGCAGTCACAATAAAAACATGACAGTGGCCAGCCCTGCTGATCCCTGTAAACTTGACATGAGGTTATCAGAGGACTTCTACCCCATCAGCTTTCAGGTACTGACATTTCACCATAACCTATTCTATATAAATGCTGTGGAACAGGATAAAATGTACTGAATGAATGTATCGTGAACCTCCAGTCTTAGAAGTTAAGACTATATACAATCACGGGTGGGAATCAAGAACTGGGTCTTGAAGAAAACGGGTTCCAAATGGTCAAATAACTTGTTATTGATAAGAAATAACAGTGTCAAGATTCAAGAGTGTCAAAATTCAACTCCATAATACAGAAACATTTAGCCATACATCATGCAATTAATTTGCCGTTTTACATAAAATGTATAGCAGACAAACTCATTTTGGTTGTCATGTGTTAGTACATATTTTAAATTAGTGGTTAATGCCTATAGAACAACTTTTTAAATATTTAAATTCCCATTTAGAATAAATTAAACAAACATAAGGACTCAAATCAATAAATGACATTGAAATAAAAAAAAGATTAAAAAGAAAGAAAATTGATTAAAAAAATTGTAATTGGTATATTCTTACAAATTTAACAGACAATTTATAACTATCAAACAACATTTCTTAAATTCCATAATGTGTAATACTAATTATCTTGTCAACTGTTTGGTATATTTTAGCATCAAATGCATACAAGTAAATGCAAAACATTGATGGCTTGTCCACTTTTCTGCTAGGTTCCAATGACAGGCATCCTGCTAGTGGAGATAGTCCTGGGTCTGAGCTCCAACCTAACTGTGCTAATCTTCTATTGCATGAAACAGAACCTCATGAGTTCCATTTCCAACTTTATCACAGTGAATCTGCATGTGGTAGATCTGCTGGTAAGTGTGGATCAATGTTGCCATTTCTGTTCCTATTCTTGTTTTCCTTTAATTTAAAAAAAATTCCACCAGTTATTTTCTCCAAAATATTTGACCGTGCACTTCGTCAAAGTTTTGATCATTTCTTAGCATTACATTACACTTGTAATGATATAATGTTTATTTTTTTGTGATTTTTCTATACTGTTCTTAAAATATGTGACGATAACCAACAGGTGGTTTCTGACAATGTTATATTTATTCTAAACTAAGTACGTACTCAAATGTTAATTTTGTTGTTAATTTTCATCAATCTCTCAGGTGTGTGTATGCTGCATTCCAATGACCGCCGTGGTGGTGCTACCTCCTATACAGTCCCACACAGCAATGATATGGTGTTTTCATGAGGCATGTGTCTCTTTTGGAAGTGTGGCTACCGCTTCTACAGTCCTTGCCATCACTGTGGATCGCTACGATATCTCAGTTAGACCAGCGCACCGCGTACTTAAAAATGGCCGATCAGTTGTTTTCCTTGGAGCTATTTGGGCATCATCCTCTTTCAGTTTCATGATACCTTTCATGGAAGTGGGGTTTGTTTTTAACACTAGTTCAAATCAGACTGCAGTGGTCACTGGAATAAAGAAATACTACACAGAAGAGGTTTTGTACTATCACCTTCTAATCCAAATTCACATATTCATTTTCACAGCTATAGTAATGCTGGTGACTTACTACAAAATTCTCCAAGCGTTGAAAATTAGCATTGGAAATTTTGGTCAGCAGAATCTATTTAAAAAAAGGCAGAAGGGTAAAAACACCAAAGCTTTAAGAACTCCGACACGGAAACAGACAACTGGGGATTCAGTGAGAGACACAAGAATTAGAGTGGATGGCAGTGCCCCTGTTGGTATAAGGGAATCTGTTTCCGCCATTATTGCACTCAGACGTGCTGTAAGGAATCACAGGGAAAGGAGAAAGAAACGAACCTTGAAAATGTCTATTCTCATCATTTCCTCCTTTATGCTATGCTGGACCCCAATAACAGCGCTCAACATTATTATACTCAGAGGGGGGCTTAGTGATTTTAACGCCCAGCTCCGCCTGAGCTTCCTTGCAATGGCCTATGGAACCACCATTATTCACCCACTCCTCTACACCTTCACTCTACCAAAGTTCCAGAAGATTTTGAAAAGCCGCATTAGGAAAAAGATGCTCCCTGTGGTAAACGCTAAATGAACACCAAGAAAGTGGCTATTCACAATTAGCGGATCAACTCCAAGAGAACCAGTACGGTGACCTTTCAGGACATAAAAGACATGTTTGCAGTGTGATCACTGTCGCCCTGAATGTCTTTCTCACTAAAACAAAAAATTAAATGTGTTATCTTTATTTATTGTTGGGAGCAAACATTGTTAAAAGTCATATATAAACACTGGACATTTACGTATCAGAGGACACAGGTTTGAATCTCACTATGGCCAGCTGTGGTTTGTTGAGAAAGCACCGATTGCTTTGCTTCTGACAGTAAGCACCTCAACGATCACAGGTTAAATGCGAACGGGGGAGGCTAAATTTTGTCGTGTTTCTGGGTACAATGAAGGCCATTCTATTCTATCTAGAAGTTTAAAAAAATTTAACCGAACTTGCACTGTTGACTTACAGAGAATGTTCCCTGACACTTAACCCTTGTTATAAGATGAGGGATGACTGACTTTTAATTATTTTTATTTATTTACCTTTTGATTATTTAAATAAGTACACATCTACATTTAGGTATGTATGTACGTATCATTGGGGGTTTTTTTTGCTTGTATGTTTTGGGGTTTTGTTTCTCTAATGTTTGTACTTTAATTTGTACATAATTCCACTGCAGCATAAAGGTATCATTGTAAAACGCAAAAGTTAAAAAAAAAAAAGTTTATTAATTTGTAAATAATGTGGCATTGTGTTTGTGAAACCCTGTATATCTTGCACATGAAATGCATTTGTCTACAGAGACCAGATGTCATACATGTAAATGAAAAAGAAAGTGGTAAAGGTAATATGGCAAAAAGTGCAGGATGCTAGTTAGTAGTAATAGGTAATAGGTACCTATAGGTAATAGGTCCGTGTACCCAGGGTGAATGTACACAGCCAGTGTACAACAGTAGTTGAGTGTATAGTACAGAGCGGATAAAACCATGACAAGTAGGTGTGACAGAAGAATTTCAGCATGGCTGTAGGCCTTGTTGACACACAGTAGTAAGCTATAACGCCATAACAGAGGCTCTGCTAAAATTTTATCATACCACATGTTATGATGACATTTATATAGCGTATATAAATGTATGTATACAGTATATGTATGTATGTATACCTATATACTTAGAACAGAAAGTGTGCTTCTGTAACTATCTGCAAGAAAGTTAGACCACTGACTGTGTCTGTGTGTGTGTGTGTGTGTGTTTGCGGTATGAGAAGTGGTCACTTATGATTGTAAACCTGCTCAATGGCACCTAATCTCTTCAGATAAGCAAGCACAAAAATACATTAACTAAAAAAGATCACATCACAGCACTACTTCAAAATCACTTGCCCTGAAACAAGGTCACAAAAGAAATCCCAAAGAGAGAACAGCGTTTGTATACATCTGTAAATGTACATGACCTACGATGTCATAGTAACCAAATCTTAAGTCAAACCAATCTTCAAGAAAACACTCAAATAGATATGGAATATGTCTCACTACAACTAAAAATACTTACTACACAAAATGCAATGAAGCCTCACTGACAGCAAACAATAAAAATAATAGCAGCATCTACCTCAACAGCTCTGGCTGGCACCCAGAAAAAGCTCACAATTGGCAAGTCAAAAGTATGTCCTAACTGTTATAAAGTGTTTTTTGTTTTTCTTTAAAAATATCATTTACTATCCTTCTTGAAAAAATATCAGTATTGATTTATGCATTTGCACACAGACAATGTACACAGGCTAAAAGTGTATTTCTTAAAACTGCATGCACAATCTTGCATCTTGTAAGATATTTTTATCACATTTTAATTCAAGTTCATTCGAACACAAAGTATAGAAACAGATTAAAAGAAACAGATTGAGTGAAATCACCCAAAAAAAATGATGTCCTTACCAAGTTCATTGAGACTCTGGGCAGCTTTGGTGATCTCTCTACTGCCCCCTTGAAGCTGAGCCTGCAGTCTCTTGCTCAGGTACAAGATACGAATGATCCTCCGGAGCAAGTCACAAGCCACCTACAGTTGAAAGCAAAAATTATCATTAATCAAGTGGCTTTATGCCATTTTGAAGCATAAGGGCACAATAACCCATGGGCTATGTTCTAAAAGTACAACTGGTCAACAAGACTAGACTTTCTGAATCAGTTACTCTTGTAATGATGTTCAAGTGGGTTCAGTTACCACAGTAAGAAGAGTGTCTCCTACTGTATGTCCCAGAATCCGACAGAGCAGCATTCATTTTTTATCATTATTACATTATTCAAGTGTGTATCAAAGACGTAGTGCTTCACATTTGTCAGTATCGTTGGTGACCACTGAACTAGAGTCTGACTTCTTGACTTAAGTCCAGCAACACTGCTAATCATAAAAAAGACTGACCTGTAATCTGCCGAGCTGTGTAATTCTGACCATGATCTTGTTGTATGGGTCAACAATCTTTGTCCTTATCCTGTGGAGATACACACACACTTTATTGAAATCATATAATTTACATGATCACTGTCTGCCGTATTGTCTACATCAGGTGTGGTAAATATACTTATACTCACTTACGTTCGGTTATTCCAATGTTTAAAAACCTAAGGTAAAACATTTACCTGTCAACAGCTGCCTGTAGTGCACTGATTCTAGTCTGCATCATCTGGAGGACCCCTAAAAAATTCAACTTAATTAGAAAAGATGATGTCTCCCCCTTGTGGAAAAGCTTAAGAATTACAACAGTTGCAGCGTTAATAATGTTTGCAATTTTCTTTTCTTTACATTTTTTTTGTTTGATGTATAAGTAATAAAGAAGTTTCTGCATGCTTTGAGTCGAACAGTGCCACTAAGGAGTTACTAAGTGAAGATATTTTACCTTCAAGAGACTCGATCCCAGTGGCCTGAGAGAGTAAGTCTTCATGTCTGGCGACAACCTGCAAAAAAAAAAAAAAAAAATTGAATTTAAGTTCCAGTGGGAGATCAGTAAAACACAGTAAAATTCACATAACAGATAACAGGTAAACATGTACAGAATAGTCTGTAGTTATGTGTGTGTGTTAGTTGCTTCTTTACCTGGCTATGGAGCTCCTTGTCTAACTGACTAATGCCCTGGGCTAGCTTTGCCAGCTGCTCTGCTATGACAGCATGATGTATCACTTGGGCTGTGTAAGTCTTTACGTCAAAGTCGTCCACCAGGAAATCAGCATAGCACTCTGCAAACACAGCAGCATAACAGAACGCCAGTCAATTTCTATGTCTCCATAAAGACTTCTAAGTGCACAAAGTTTAAGACAAAGGATTGACCACATAAGGGCAGCGCTAAGAGTAGGGCAGAAATACAGATCCTTTCCAAAAAATTAGAATATCGTGAAAAAGTTGTTTAATTTCCATAATTCCATTCAGAAAGTTAAACTTTCATATATTCATAGATTCATGGCCCACAATTTAATCAATTTCAGGTATTTATTTGTTTATTTTTTATATAATTTTGGCTTCCAGCTCATGAAACCCACAAAAACAGGATTTCAATAAATTAGAATACTGTGAATTAGAATACTGTTTTTGCAGAAAATAAATAAAGAAAAAAAGAAATCAATCAAAATATGGTACTTTCAAAATGATATATCAATCATCAATACTTGGTTGGGAATCCCTTTGCCTTAATCACTGCCTTGATGTGACATTGAGGCAATCAGGCTGTGGCATTGCATAGGAGTTATGGAAGCCCACATTTCTTTGATGCTTGCTGTCAGCTCTTCTCTGTTGTTGGGTCTGGTGCCCCTCATTTTCCTCTTGAGAATACCCCATAGATTCTCAATGGGGCTTAGGTCCGGCGAGTTGGCTGGCCAGTCAAGCACTGTGATGGCATGAGCATCAAACCAGGTTTTGGTGCTTCTGGCAGTATGAGCAGGGGCCAGGTCCTGCTGGAAGATGAAATCTGCATCTCCATACAGATCCTCAGCAGAAGGAATCATGAAGTCCTCCAAAACATTCTGGTAGACTGTTGCGGTGACCTTGGATTTAAGAAAGCAGAGTTTACCAACACCTGCACTGGACATTGCACCCCAAATCATGACTGACTGTGGATATTTCACACTGGACCTCAAGCAGCTTGGGTTCTGTTCCTCACCCGTCTTCCTCCAAACACTTGGACCTTGATTCCCAAATGAAAGGCACACTTTACTTTCATCGGAAAAGAGGACCTTGGACCACTGGCCAACAGTCCAGTCCTTCTTCTCCTTGGCCCAGTTGAGCCGCTTCCTACGTTGGCTCTGGTTCAGAAGTGGCTTGACCCGAGGAACCCGACAGCTGTAGCCCATCTCCCGGATTCGTCTGAATGTGGTGGTTTTTGAAGCTGTGACTCCTGCCTCAGTCCACTCTTTCTGGATCTCTGCCAGATTCTTGAATCTTCTCTGTTTGAGAATCCGCTGAAGCCCACGGTCATCTCTTTTGCTAGTGCATCTTCTCCTGCCACATTTTTCCCTTCCACTAGACTTTCCATTGATATGCTTGGACACAGCACTCTGTGAACAGCCAGCCTCCTTAGCTATAAACTTTTGAGGTTTACCCATCCTATGGAGGGTATCAATGATGGTCTCCTGGGCAGTTGTCATGTCTGCAGTCTTCCCCATATTGAACCGAACTGAGACAATTGAACCAAACCAAAGCAATTAAATAACACCTGGGGAAACCTGTGCAGGTGCTTTGAGTTTAGTAGATGATTGGTGTGTGACACTCAGTTAAACTTAACTTAAACTTAAACTTGTTTAAAACATTCATGCCCTGATGATTTCTTCACAGTATTCTAATTTATTGAAATCCTGTTTTTGTGGGTTTTATGAGCTGGAAGCCAAAATTATGTAAAAAATAAACAAATAAATACCTGAAATTGATTAAATTGTGGCCCATGAATATATGAATATATGAAAGTTTAACTTTCTGAATGGAATTATGGAAATTAAACAACTTTTTCACGATATTCTAATTTTTTGGAAAGGATCTGTATGTCCAAAATACCATGTTGAATGTGCTTTTAGTGATAAAATAATATAAAACAACAAGTAGATTTGGAATAAAAGCACTTTTTTTAAAAAATCCAGATTTTCTGCTCACCATCAAATGTAAACATTGTTAGCTAATGAATAAAGAAAATAAGAGATCAATACAGAGGGTTGGAAGAAAGACAGTCACAAAGTACAGGTATAAAACATTATAGTTGACCTAGGTGTCTGTTTAATGTTTAAAAGTAGTTTGTTCCAGTTTCGAGAACTACAACTGAAAAAGTCCAATCACATCTGAGCTTCACTCTGGTTTTAGCAATGAGCATCAGTAGCTGCTCTCAGAGCGCTAGACGGAGGAGGTTATTATGATTTGTATTAGTTTAAATTGTTTAACACAGAGTATAAGAATTAACGAATTGTCTCCCCAAATTTAACAACTTACTTTTCCCGTGATTCAAAACTACAACCGAATACTGTTGAATAAACAAGGAGACGTCCACACGGTAGCTACGTTCCATCTCTAGAGCACCTAGTTAGCAAGCTAGTTAAAAGTGCTAATGCACTGGTCACAACGGTGCTAATGACAAACGCAGCGCATATTTAATTGAAAATATATTTAATAAAAATGCCAAACGTTAGACTCGTTGTATTCCAAAACCAATCTTACCATCTTTCAGAAGTGCATTCGTGGAGTTCCCTCTAACATCCTCCATGTTGATACTTCCGCATGTGACGTAGAATGGGCGGTACAGGAAACGTGACGTTTTCCGAGTCTTACAGATACCTTTCTTCCTTCACGTATACAGTGATCCCTTGCTATAACGCGGTTTACTTTTCACGGTTTCGCTACTTCACTGATTTGCATCGTGCATTGTGTTCTGCATTCTGATTGGCTAAAAAGTCACTCCGCTTCTTCTCTACCTGTGCGCCAATAACGTTGCGGTTTAATATGTACACGTACGTAAAACAGCTTGCCAAATTGACATTACGTACGTGCAAATTCTCTTGCAATTTCGAGTTTATCAAACCCCATAATGTCGACAAAACGCTCTGGACCGGCAAAAGTACCTGCGGTAGGGACCAAAAGGCAGCGGAAGATGCTGTCTATCGGTGATAAAGTAAAACTATTGGACATGCTAAATGAAGGTAAAAGCTATGCGGCTGTAGGTCGGCATTATTTGTCCGACTGTACAGGTAATTTGTATTTTTTTCATAATCATTTTTAATTTTCTCCCGTTCACGGTGGGCGGTGCTAATCTCCGCAATTTGAAACCTTCTGTTCACGTTGATGATTAAAATTCTTATTTGACAGTACATTACAGAAGTTATTTGTTGAAACGTTTCTAAAGTACTTTTATTTTACTTTATTTGTGAAACAAATGGTTGAGACTGTAAAATGGTTTGTTAGTTCTTTATCTTCTTTTTCTGAGTATTTAATTGTAAAAAAAATAAAGATTTCTACTTCACGGATTTTGCCTATCACGGGTTCTTTTTGGAACGTAACCCCCGCGAAAAACAAGGATTTACTGTATTCTCATTTGTCGGCCTCAAAAAAGCAATTGAAAAAATAACTTAAACTATAAGCAACTATAAGTAACCCTCACCATTTATGACTCTATTTACACTACTTTAGAAAAAAATAAAATTCAGATTTTTATTTAATTTCATTTAAGTGTCTGGCCCCCAAGGCCCTCTGACAAATATAGTTGGTGACCCCTGTTCTGGGGATTAGCTTTAGAATTTTTGTCTAGTTTATAGATATTTATATACTAAAGCAAAAGCATCTCATGTATCCCTTAAAATTAACTAACAAAAAAATACGTCAATCCAAGAGATATTTCAATCCACCACCTTCTCATCATCCCACTACCTTCACCTAACACTAGATGGCAATGCTAGCATAAAATTAACACGTTCTTGGCGGAACTCTTAGGTAAACACAAAGCATAGAATAGACATGTCTAAGGTGTGTAAAACAGTTACAATTAAAATGTATGAAGTAAACGGGTCCGAAAACAAATTATGTGTGTGTGGCATGTTTATTTGTTTGCGCGGGGGACGCAAAAAGTTTCGTATGAACCAAAGGGGAGCCAAGCAGAGAAAGTTCGGGAACCACTGTTTTAAAGAATCCAACCTACAGCTCAAACTGTATTTTTGAGTGTGAGTTAAAGGTAGAATACACAAAAAACACACACACACAAAATATGCACAGGTCATCACAATTCAAGACAAACTATCGGTGTACTTTAAATTTACATTTTAAGAATTAAATCAAATAAGACCTTTTGGAAATCATTAAAAACAGAAATCAAGATATCCCAGGCTCAGAAGCCGCCATTTAAGATTGCATGTGGCTGCATCAGTAACTGTCATTACTATGACGTCATGGGGTTTAACCTTCCTTTAGACAAGTGACACAATAACTAATATAAACTCTATGAAGTCAGTTGACAACATCACCCCTCTTGAAGCAGAGCAGTGGTACACTCCGTCTTCGAAGCACTCAGCTCCTTGGTCTGACAAACCTCATCACCGACCGCAGCAGAATCAGAGAACCGTTCTCTTCTCCAGACAGCACCACCATCACAGTGTGTGCCTGCAGCAGCAGCAGCAGCTCATTGCGGTGTTCGTCTGACATGAAGCGTACCTTGTATGAAGTGATGAGGCTCAAAAGGATATGCCAAATGATAGCTGCCACCTGTTTGGGATCTTTTATTCTGGTCATCTTTTATTTCCAAAGTATGTTCCAACCAGGTAGGTTGCTTTTTCCCGCCTCTCTGGTGTGTCTCTATGGTGTCGAAGTCGTTGTTACATTTTGAGAAACTATTCCAGTCAATTAGGTATAAAGGTCAAATTTCAATACATATTTAATTAATTCGAATTCATTTCATATTATATTTATTTTACAATTATGTTTACTGTTATATTTTTATATCCTAAGTATATATTCTTACACATATGCATCAGTAGGTGTGTGTAGGTGTGTACATATATGTGTATATGTATATTATATATAATGTATATACTGTATGTGTATGCATATGTTTAACGAAGATCTTACCTATTTAATAGTATGTATAGTAACACCCAGAAATACTAGTTGGGTCAATCTGGTTGTAATACACTATATTATATATAGTGGAACTGGATCTAACAGTTTGTTTAACTGTTTAAACTGTATAACTGTTCAAGTAACTTATTATTATTTTGCTTATACTGTATATATATATAGAGAGAGAGAAAGATAATGTGGTACACGGCAATAATAACTCTACACCCAACAACAATAATTATGCACTAATCTACTATATTAACCTACCAATCTAATGGTGTGCTGCTACTCCTGTTTGTATTATATTGAATCTATTTTTGTGTTATTCCTGTTGTTTTGGTGCTGTAACGCTGCTGGAGCCTAAATGTCCCTGAGGGAACTCCTGAGGGCTTAATAAAGTTCCATCTCTCTCATCTATCAAATACAGTATAGGAAAAAAGAGGGTGAGAGGGGCCCCAGGGAGAGAAAGAGGGAGAAAGAGTTACACAGATTGGCTCTTCTAATTTTTAACTGTCAGGTTCTGTAGGGACCAAGGATTTGGGAATTTAGTCCCCTGTCACAAGTCTATGTGGGCTGCATGAGCAGGAAAAAGATTTGCAGTTTTAAATGATGACATGTTTTTCTTCTGTACCAGTAATTGAGGAAAAAAGGGGACAAAAATCAAGATGTGTAAAGTTCTGTTAAAAATAAATAAATTCCAAGACCTTCATTTACCATTTAATTATTCAGTCAGAAAATAATTTATTGGTTTTATAATTAAAAATAAAACCCAAAGCGAATATTAAAATGTAAAATATATATGAATGGTATGGAATTTCTCCCACTACACATGACAGGTGTACCACAGTTTAAGTGTCAACGTTATCAACTTAAATCGCAACAGCTTTGAGTAACAAGTTCAAGGCAACAAATGTAAGAAGCTACTTTACTAATCTTTAATATGAGGTGCTTTAATATGATTGCTTTAGCTAGCTTTTGATTTTCTATAAAAGCTGATGTAGGAGCCCGCTTAATATAACGTCAAACCTATTTCAAGGACCAAGTTCTCACATATCGTTTTTGTGGCAAACATAGCAGAACAGTGTGAAGTGTGAAGGCCAGATTTGGGCCAAAATGTGTAATAATATTTGTATAGATATATATATATAATATAATTTGTATAGTACTGTACCAGGGAACAAACACCGATCAGGAGAATTGGACGTAACACACAGATGATGAAACGGAATAGACAAGCAGAGATGGTGTAGAGCTGCCAGATAATGAGATGCAGGTTGAGCACATTAGGTAATCACAAGGACCTGAAATACAGGAGGGTAGCTGCAGGAGATGAAGCTGATGAGAGGGGAGAAACTGACAGGATGCCAGGAGGACCCACGCCCCCCACTATGGGAACCTCTAATGTAGCCAGTCATGTGCTAGTATGGATTTATGGCAGCACTGTGTTTCACCATCAGATATAATCAGGTGTTAAACATGACCGGGGGGATAAGTAGGAGCAGGCATTTAATTTTTGAATGCTCATATAGTTATGAAGTGATACCTTGTTTATTTTTTTTATTAGTATGTATTATTGACCAGTTGGATAAAGGATTTACTTTTCTTTGTCAATGTGACCTTGTCAGATGTTACTAATCCCCATCCTCCCTTTCCTTTTAGGAGCATTTTATACTGTATTCTGGGTCGTTTTCTGAGCCAAATAAATCTAGTACAGAATTTCCTCTGTCTGAGTTTAGCTAATTGTGACTGCACCATTTTTTCCCAATTCTGATTTCCTCCAGTTGACGGGATATACACTAAATTAAAAAAAATGTCATGCTCATAACAAGTAATTACGAAATATGTCCTACAAACTGCCCTCAGTCACTGGTTCTCTCTTCAGTTGAACAACTTTTAAAATAAAATGTCTCGTGACTGGAATGAGGTACTAAATGAAAATGGGTTCCTGTGCACCCAACGTTCTGACAAATACAAGCTTATGCAGTAGACAATTTTATTAGTTGATGCAAATAAATGTTACAAATTTCACATCACGTCGTACTCTCTTTGTCCTTTGCCTGTCTCTACGTTCACTCTGATATTCTCTCTTTCCTTTTGCCTCCTGTCTTTGTCACACACAAGCGCACACAGTGACATTGGACATGACAGGGCCGTAATTTCCTCCTCCATCTATTTTAAGAGAACTCTGGATCCAGAAGAAACGCATGCAGACTATAATTTAGAGGCGCATAACCACTGCAGTGTTTCAGGTGCAGAGCTCAGAGGAACACTGCCAAACAAACATAACTCATTGACTTATTGCCTCAATCCTTCAGTTATGTCCTATACAAGTTAATGCTGCATCAAATGGATAACACTATCTATCTATCTATCTGTCTGTCTATCTATCTGTCTGTCTATCTATCTATCTATCTATTTATCTATCTACAGTATCTCATTCCTACTGCGAAATCTTAAATGTCATGTATAGACTGCATAACCTCGGCTAAATTGTTTCACTTCAGTGTGTGACACCATTTATTTCTTTTAAACAACTTTATCTTGTTAATGGTTGTGGGAGAATCTCATTTTGTGCCAATTTCCTTTCTTGCAGCATATTAATGAAGAGAGCTGTCATTCCCAGCTATTTGGAGCTAACATTTAGGTCAGCTCCTCATTCATAATAACAGCAACCAGTGTGTATCAATCTGATTTTTTTTAGGTGAATCTGAATGCTGTTGGGTAGTTTAACTGATTACTCACAACTTCAAACACGTGCTGTCACCAAAACACTTGGAGACAGTAAGAGAGGGAGAATGGTGTTACTAGCTTCAGATGAGCCACACTCAGCTCCCACATACAGTGTTAGTGGAAAACAGCAAAAATATGAAGAGTTAGTGCTGAGAAGAAAAGTCACATTCACCTTGTAGAGTTGGCACTTATTATAAGACGAGGAGTGGAGAATAAATCAATACCTTCCGCTCACTAGCTTGTGGGATTAAGGGGTGGCACTGGAACCAGTCCCAGCTGTCAACAGGCAAGGAAGGGTGTCCACCCTGGACAGTTCAACAGCCTATTGCAGGGTTACATATAGAGATAAACAACACACCCATACCTGTGGTCAACGACCTGGAGAAAACCTATGCACGCACATAGAGAACATGGAAACTCCATACAGAAAGATTAACTGGGGAACCAGTGGCGTTATTTCTGTAAAGTCAGACGTTGTAACACAATTTGCCCCTTTGTGACCTAAAAAATGACCTATGACCTAGACTGGAACTGGGGTTACTGCAGCCACAATGCAAAGTACAATTATGCCGAGCTAATGATTTCTTCCAAGTTGTTATTTATACAAACTATGAATATGCTATCCTACAAGTACCACATGTATGTACCACAAATATTCTGCACACACAAATACACAATAACACAACCTCATTACGCATGCATACAGTAGTAGGCAAGATACCCTACCAAGCCTTTTCTTGTATGTAGTGGATGTCCTGCAGAGATTGGTATCTGGTTCAACCTATCCTGCCCAAGTGATCTTTTGAACAGATATTGTATGACAGGAACATTTTCCAATTGTTCATAAATCAACTCTCATATTTTCAATACACAAGTGCTTCCAACATATGTCCAAGTTTGGTTGGCACATTTACTTGTTAGACTGAGTATGTGCGTTATTCCAGGTCATGAATAAGTCACAGAGTTCAGTGCAAAGTGGTGGCAGTGGTTCTCATCCTAAGGTGACTCAACATGAACTCCTTGTTCTGTATTGATGACAATATTGAGTCAGGCAATGAGAGTTTAACTCTACTTCCGCAGCACGGGGAACTGTCGGAACAGAAAAGGAAGATGTGAAGTGTTCCGTCACTAATCTGGTTGCAATCATAACGTCACGATTGCCATAATTATATAGCTGCACAGAACACTGTGACATTACGAATTGAAACAGCAGACGGCCCAACCCTCCTCCGGGTTTTCTTGAAACTCTGAATATTCATTACATGTAAGTGTTAATATTACTACTAAGATGCTTAAATATATATAACAGTAAATACTCTTTACATTTAACTGAATACCCTTGATGTAGACCATGAAAATGTATGTACAAACTGGTAGTAAATGTAGATCATTAAATATTTAAATATTATATAATTACATTGACATCAACAGGATTTTTCAGTTATTTGACTTGCTGCTTTCTCATTTGATTTACAGTAATACAGAGGAACCCGTTTATGATAGACAGTTGCCGAAAAGGGTCCCGCAAGGCCCTACAGGAGCTCTACAATCCTGCACAGGTAGGGAATTGACACTGTCGCAGTGCTGAATTGTTTGTTGTATTCCTCCAAATAAGTCTGAAGTCTTTTGTGAAACAAACAAGGCCTTGACCCTGTTCCTGCTTCAAAAGTATCACAGGACTTGGGTAGTTTGGATGGAAAGCGAGATTTGAAACTTGGGCAATTCAGATAAATGAAACGGTGCTCATAGATGAGTCAGGTACTTAAAGCATTGAAAAGGATAAGAGAAGCTTTGAAGTGTGGCTCACTGCGAACGTATTTAAGATTCATGAAACAGAGCTCTTGTGTTTGCACATTTGAAATTAGTACCATTGAACAACTGCAATCATACTGTCATTCTTTTCGAAGTAATTATTCGCTCTAGCAAGTGTTTATTTTGGGAAACTTTCATCCTTCAGATGGCCAGCATGGATTCTGTCACTACAACACTCAGAATGCAGCATTAGCATGACTGCTCAGCTAGTTAAACCAGACATACTATGAAATTACCTTGTGTGTTGTTTGCGTGGTCATCAGCCGTGAGCCATCAAAATATCTTGCAATTATAGTACAAATAGGTTTGTTTGCATGAACCCTCTATTGTAATGTATAACATAATATATGTCAACATATATTGGCAATATCAGCATATTAGCAAAAAGTTAATATCAGACATCCCTAGACTTAACCCTCATAAGACAAGTTCCGGGAACAACATTTATACATACTGATTCAATAGTCCGGATTACCAGCTGAAAAAATATGGGCAACTGCGAATTGTAGTCGTTTGTCACTGCAACTGCTGTCGTACCTCTGCAAAAGGTCATGCAAGGCAGCGCTGTAAATATAAATGTAGGTTATCGTTAAAGGATGTAGCGTAAACAGAAGGACATAATTAATAACGTTTTCTGGAAACTAGGGCAGTGGTGACCCAGTGGTACAGTTTCTGCGTACCATACATAGTTGAACTTCTACTACTGTCCCGAAGGAAAAAGTATGTTAGAAAGACGTCTGGTCTAAAACTGTGTCAAATCACTGTGTAAATTCCTGTGGACCCAAATAATGGGTAGAAACGGGAAGAAGGGTAAATAAAAGTGTAAATATAATATTTTTATACCATATAAAATAATGACAATGTTTATATCGGTTGTTTAGACTTAAACATCATTTTAAAGAATTATCTATTTAGACTTTGTTGCTTTCTATGCTCTATCACAACAGATTTAGTCTGTTTTGGACTAAGGATTTTAACATTTTAAGCTGTTTAATTGGAGGCATAGCCGCCAATGCTAAGAGACAAACGTGCACTTTAAATATATATTTAAAACTAATGGCTATGAGGGAGAGTCACAGCAGTCTGTCATTAGCGTGTCTGTTGAACTGTAATTACACTCCCACTGTCACTGTGAGAGACCTACAGTACAGCTTTTATCAGTCTCTCTCTCTCTCTCTCTCTCTCTCTCTCTCTCTCTCTCTCCGTTACACACCTTAAGCAGCAGTTAACACATGCACTGTGCAGTAAGTGTCAGTGAGGTTGAACACACGTACTGGCAGACAGTTGTACTGTCTGCCTGGTCTTGTTGAGCAGTTCTTGGCAGGTGAAATGCATACTGAAGTGTTTTAGGCATCACGGAGCTCTAGGCTACTGACGATTTTTTATCACTTTCAAACCTGAGAAGCTATTCTCCCTAGTGACAGATGCAAATTTCTGTCACTTCTGTTGAGAGAGTTGTGCTTCTTACTCCTTCCACTGAGAGCATATAAGTCTTACTTCCTCTTTTGGTTGGATGGTTCCTTCAGGGTTTGCCCCAGCTAATGATCTGTCTCCATCTCCCCCTGCCCCTTGCCTCCACTATCAGTCTCTTTATCTGCTTTGGTCTTTTTTGTCTTTAAATAAATTAAAACTTTATTTGAAGTACTTATCCTGTCTTTTGAGAGGCAGTTAACACGACATCTCAACTCCCAGCATCCATTGTGTTCAGGTTCAGATCAGATGCTAGACTTGCATCAGACTAGCTTCAAAGAACACAAGGCAGTAAATACATCTAGTCTACAACTGAGAAGCTAACTAACACAAATGCCAAATGCAAGATTTATTATAATTGTTGAGGACAAAGGTTCATCAAGGTTTTGAAAGAAACTTTCAGCAGGTTCTACAAGTGGCCATCAACATGGAATGTAGTGACCGACTCTATGAAGCTACATTTTGAGTTGTACTTTTGCATATTTTTCAGAACTATAAACTATAAAGAACTATAACCTCACTGTCACAGGAAATTAAATCTTACAGCACATGCCTACAGTCAAAACATTACAAATAGGACCCTAATACTTCTAATAATTTAACTTCAAGAATGGTTTTACTATAATACCACATTGAGTACAATCTCTGCATTCTCCGAATGAAGGAGACGTATAATAATGATTTTGTGAAGATGCTTAACTAGTGGTTGTGAGTGTTAGCTTCCTTGAATGTTTTCTGAGTTAAAAATACACCGTAAACTCCTTAGAAAATCTGTTTATTATTATACTTTTATGTTATTATCATAGTTACTTGCAAAGCCAATCAGAGTTGACTTTTATTAAAAAGCAACTGACACTAACAACAGACATGAAACGAGCTAAAAAATAAGAAAAAATACAAAACATACTTCAAACAGTTGAAGGTTTTCCTCCATCTTTGTCTACTATTCATTGTTTAGTAGTCCCTATAAACTTTGTCTCCCGCTTTCCACCTTTATTTTTTGCTACTATTTGACTAGATGGAGTTGTCAGGATCAGCTGACCTTCACCAGGCTAGACGGGACCAGTTATGGAATGTTTGTCAAATGTACAATGCATCCAGCCACAGGCGTCAGGTCCTGACCCCGGGGGACCTTAAACATTTGGTTGTGGACGAGGACCACGAGCTTATCTACTGCTACGTCCCCAAAGTGGCCTGTACAAACTGGAAACGAATAATGATGGTGCTTACAGGTCGGGGCAAATACAGGTGAGATTCCACTGGTTTTTTTTTTTATGCAATTGAAAATGATATGGGTAAATATGTAACAGGTCCCATAAAGAATACCTCTACATAGAAGTTGTTTTAAATAGTAAAACATCTGAAAAATCAGTTTTAGGCTAACTTAATTAGCATTAAACACATTTAGGCTAATTAAGTTATTGAAACCAGTACGATGACATCTAAAAGTTTTCACATAAAATAATAATAAAAAAAAAATTTAAATAATTAAATGAAAAGGAAACTAGTAAAAAGCCCTCAATGACCTCAAAAATACATGGCCGTAGCGAAAGCATAAATCCTGTTGGTCAATAGAGTAAAAAGGCCTCACAAAGTTTCTTTCCGAAAAAATGTAAATAGGATC